CAATCTGGGCCACTGCCCTCTAGTCTGGGTGACGGAGTGGGACTTTGACTCAAAAAAAAAATAGATAGATATTGTTATTTTTATTCTTAAACTAGTTCTATACAGTATAGTGCCAGAGAGAACCTGAACTAGGCTTAAGGAGGGCAAATAATAAGGAAGCTTATAGGCGGGCTTGGTGGCTCAGGCTGTAATCCCGTGCCTTTGGGAGGCTGAAGTGAGTGGACTGCCTGAGCCCGCGGGTTCAAGACCCACCTGGGCAACTTGGCGAGACCTCATCTCTACAATAAATCAAAAAATTAGCTGGGCGTGGTAGCGCGCGCCTGTAGTTCCAGCTACTTGGAAGGCTGAGGCGGAAGGATCGCCGCAGTCCAGCAGGTCGAGGCTGCGGTGGCCGGGAGCGTGCCACTGCACTCCAGTCTGGGTGACAGAGTGAGACTCCAACTCAAAAAAAAAAAAGGAATAAATACACAATTAAAAAATAATAATAATAAGGAAGCTTATTTTGAATCAATATAAAGAAATTTCTAAAAGTGAGGTATATAGAAGGAAAAAAAACCAGTTTGTAGTCAGAAGTCCTAATTCTGAGTCTGGACTTGCCATTTAACAGTTGTGAGAATTTAGGTAAGCCAATTCACTGAGCTAATCCTCAATATCCTCATTCAAAAAAGTACCAGTAAAGCCAGGCTCAGTGGCTCAGCCTGTAATCCCGTACCTTTGGGAGGCTGAGGTGAGTGGATTGCCTGAGCCTGCGAGTTCGAGACCCACCCGGGCAACTTGGCGAGATCTCAACTCTACAATAAATCAAAATGAGCCGGGCGTGGTAGCGTGCGCCTGTAGTTCCAGCTACTTGGATGGCTGAGGCGGAAGGATCACCAGAGCCCAGCAGGTCAAGGCTGCAGTGGCCGCTCCGGCCACCGGACTCCAGTCTGGGTGACAGAGTGAGACTCCAACTCAAAAAAAAAAAAAAAGTACCAGTAAAATCTGTCATGCCAATCAGGGAGCTATTGGGAGAATCTAATGAGATCGTGGACTTGAAGATGCTCTGTAGACAAGAAACTACAGGAATTGTGGCAGTTATACCAATATGATCCCCAAGGACTTCAGGTACAACCTGAGCAAAGTAAATTAAGTCAAGTCCCACACTCACTTCCGAAAACCACTTGATGGTTTTCAGAAGGCCTTTCAATTAGTGCCCCAACAAAACATAAAATTCCCTTAAGGAGGCTGATCTTTAGAGCTATGCTCCAAGCTCATACTGTTTTTGTCAAAATAGGTGATCCAGTGTGAATCCCTCCAGCAGTTGGGGAAGAAGCCTCTCTCTAACCCTTCGACTTCCTGTCATGGAGGCGCTACTTAGGTAGTAGCTCACCTGAGCGCTGGAGAATAGACACTGGGGTTGAGTCACTGAAGCACAACACAAGAGAAAGGCAGGCTTCACTGTTCATGGGATTCCAGAGCCAACTACCAAACAGACACAACAAGGCTAAAAGCTGTGCTAATAACAAGGTTAGAGGACACCTCTGATCAACTGTGACATAGGTGTACTGTTACACTGCTAGCTTTACGTGTATTCTCTCAATCCTCAAAACAACTTTATAATATAGGTACTATTACTACCTCCTCTATTTTTTTTTTTGTAAAGATGGTGAAGCTGAACAATGCAGAAACTTACCCAAGATCACAAAGCAAGTAAGTGGTGAAACAAGGACTCAGTTCCAGGCAGTACTACACTCCTGCGTTGTGTGCGCTTCTGTCTCCCTCACAGAGTATGTGCTTCTCAAAGTTAGGTCTTCCTCCCTGCATCTACCATAGCATCTAGCACAGAGCTTTGCATATTGTTGGGCTCTCAGAAAAAGTCTGCTGGACAGGCCGGGCGTGGTGACTCAAGCCTGTAATCCCAGCACTTTGGGAGGCTGAGGTGAGAGGACTGCCTGAGCCCATGGGTTCAAGAAAAGCCTGAGCAACTTGGCGAGACCTCACCTCTACAATAAATAAAAAAATTAGCTGGGCATGGTAGCACGCACCTATAGTTCCAGCTATTTGGAAACCTGAGGTGGAAGGATCACCTGAGCCCAGCATGTCAACACTGGGGTGGCCATGAGTGTGCCACTGCACTCCAGCCTGGGCCATAGAGTGAGACTCCAACTCAAAAAAAAAAAAATGTCTGCTTGACAAATGGGCTGGTTCTGTTTACACAGATTAAAAGCAGAGATCAGTTTCTTGGACATATTAGCAATTTAGGTCTTGGAAGGCTTAAATTGAACACAGTAATTAGCAGAAGTTTAGGCTGATTGGGACGAAAGTTGCTAGTACACACCCCAAGCAGAGAACAGAGAAGTATGTCAAAACCAGGTGGCCACAAAGAGGATCAGGTGACAAGCCCTGAATAGGAAGCAGCAGGAACCAAGTAAGAGGATGCACTCAAACCTTCATTTCATTCATTCAGCAAACATTTACTGAGTGCCTACTAAGTGCCAGGCATCATTCTAGGACGGGACCAAACACTGAACAAAGCAAATCCCTGCCCTCATGGGGTTTATATTCTCATGGGAAGACTGAAAATAAATAAGTAAATATATCATTTATAATGCAATATGATCTAAAATGAAAAAGACTAGCCAGGCGTGGTGGCACACACCTGTAGTTCCAGCTACTTGGAAGGCAGAGGCAGAAGGATCGCCTGAACCCAGCAGGTTGAGGCTGCAGTGGCCATGAGTGTGTCACTGCACTCCAGCCTGGACAACAGAGTGAGACTTTGACACAAAAAAAAGATGAGGCACTGTACCCAGCCTGTCCCCATTTTATAGACAAAGAAATTGAAGATCAAGCTGGGCTCGGTGGCTCAGCCTGTAATCCTGTGCCTTTGGGAGGCTGAGGTGAGTGGATTGCCTGAGCCCGCGGGTTCGAGACCCACCTGGGCAACTTGTTGAGACCTCATCTCTACAATAAATCAAAAATTAGCTGGGTGTGGTAGCGCACACCTGTAGTTCTGGCTACTTGGAAGGCTGAGGCAGAAGGATCGCCAGAGCCCAGCAGGTCAAGGCTGCGGTGACTGGGAGCAGCCACTGCACTCCAGTCTGGGTGACAGAGTGAGACTCCAACTCAAAAAAAAAAAAAGAAATTGAAGATCAATTGAGTAAGTCAGATTTCCAACTAATGACCATGTGTTTTTCCTATATGATACTATTTCCTAGCAAAATATTCTCTTCTTTTAAACTTTTGATATTTCCTCCAAAACAGAAATTCTTACCCATAATCTACAGGAGGCCCACAATCCCTCCCCAAATGTAAGTAAATGTTTATGTATAGATCTGTTTATTTAATATTTACTAATATGGATACTAGCTGACACAACACCAACTGTGTTCAAGGTGCACTGTTACACTGCTAGAACTCAGAACAACCCTATAATATAGGTACAATTATTACCTTTTTCTTTCTTCTTTTTTTTTTTTTTTTTTTGAGTTGAAGTCTCACTCTGTCACCCAGATTGTAGTGCAGTGGCACGCTCCCGGCCACCGCAGCCTCAACCTGCTGGGCTCCGGCGATCCTTCTGCTTCAGCCTTCCAAGTAGCTGGAACTACAGGCACGCACTACCACGCCCAGTCAATTTTTTTATTTATTGTAGAGATGAGGTCTCGCCAAGTTGGCCAGGCGGGTCTGAACCTGCAGGCTCAGGCAATCCACTCACCTTGGCCTCCCAAAGTGCTGGGATTACAGGCTGAGCCACTGAGCCCGGCCAATTATTATCTTTTTCTAAAAAAAAAAAAAAAAGAGATGGTGATGCTGATGCTCAGAACAATGCAGGAACTTGCCCAAGATCACACAGCAAGCAAGTGGTGAAACCAGGACTCAGTCTCAGGCAGGACTATGCTCCTGTGTTGTGTACATTTCTGTCTCCCTATTTGCGTTTGTCTATTTAATATTAGGAGAGCTCCACAGCTACTACCATCAGTTTCTCAAAAGGGGTCTCAGAGAGAAAAGGTTAAGTACCACTTTAGAGTAATAGGACTTCTTGCAGACTTCTTGCTCCTGGTGTAAGATGCACAGGTGAGGGAAGTTTGATCATCCCCTCTAGAGCTGAGTATCAAAACAGAGTTCCATAGGGTGTGGTGGCTCATGTCTGTAATCCCAGAACTTAGGGAGGCGGAGGCGAGAGGATTGCCTGAGTCCAGAGGTTCAAGATCAGCCTGGAAAATATGGTGAGAACTCGCTTCCACAGTAAATCAAAAAATTAGCCAGGTGAGGTGGTGTGCACCTGTGGTTTCAGCTACTTGGAGGGCTGAGGTGGAAGGATCACTTGAGCTGGGTGGGTCAAGGCGGTGGTGGCCATGAGTGTGCCACTGCACTCCAGCCTGGGTGACAGAGTGAGACTCCAAATCAAAAAAAAAAAAAAAAGAGAGAGAGCGCCCCTGATCTGCCCAGCATGCAACCTTAGATTCTTAGTTTTTAAATTAAAAAAACAAAGACATAACATGGGCCAATCTGGAAGAAGAACATGGCAAAGAAAAGGAACAACTGCCAGGAAGGCTCCTTAGTTCGGAGAAAAATGACCTTAGTCTCCAGCCCCAGTTCCTAGTCCAACTTTATGGGACCATAACGTGTCCCACTATTCCCAGGACAAGAAGGGAGCCGCCGCTCACTCAACCCCCATTACAGGGGCACACTCACTCTTATTCAACTGAATCGAAAGTTCCCTTCTGGCAAGACCAGTTTCCGAGCATCCCTCACGATACCCACGCCACGGTGTGAGAGACACTACAGCCTAACAGCCTGAAGCATCGGCTTCCGAGTTAGACATGGATGCAAATCCTAACTCTTCCTAGGTGTAAATTTGAGCACGTTACATAAGCTCTCAGCTGTAAAATGGCGATGACATTATCTACCTAATAGGTTTACTTTGTGGATTAAATGAAATACTGTCGCGTACGTAAAGTACTGGGCCCAGTGCCTCACACATAGTAAGAGAGCAAGATGTGGTAGTTACTGTTATTTATCACCGTCGTTGTTGTTGGCCTAGCACAGAGATGCACACAGGCCTCGGGGGCGGGGTCTCCACGCGAAAGGGGTCTCCTGGGGGAGTTTCTCCAGCCGTCCTACAACCTGCCTCAGGCCCGCGAGGCCCCCACAGCGGTCCACCAAGCAGGCTTCCCCGGCCAGAGCTCACAGAGGGGCCCTTTCCCGATCGCACCTCGCGCTCGCGCTCGCGCTCGAGCCGGGCCCCTTCCCCAGGACGCCTCAATTCCGTCCCGCCCGCCGAGGTCACGGGCTCCAAGTTACCATTTTCTTGCTCTCGGTGCCACGGTTCGCCTGCCTCGACATGGTGCCGGCCGCCCCGCCCCGTCTCGCTCGGCGACCCCTTCAGACGCCGTTCAACCCAGCCGCTGCCCCTCCGCCTACAGGACCGACCGGCACTGACTCACTGCGCCTGCGCGGCCAGCCGCGGGGCACCACGGGACTCGTGGTCCGGCCGACGAGGGTAACTCCGCCCAACAAACGCCGGACTACAACACCCAACAGCCCCTTTGGCAGCACGGCCTCTTAGCACAATTGAACTACAACCCCCGGAGTGCCCCTCGCGCGCCGGTCTCGAAGAGCCTGCGCTGCATTCTGGCCGCTAGGTGGCGTCCGCAGCCTTCGGTAATCCTGTATCATTCACTCGATTCTCTCTCCTCTCCCTCCCCCAACGTTCGCTCAGAGATGCTCCACAAATTCCTCTCTCGCCGGGGTTGGTCTTGGAAAGTCCCATTTTCGAGCTAGCTTCTTCCGCTCTTGCAATTCAGAGCCAGAATCCCAAGATGCCCCAGAAACTAGCAATGTCTTTCACACAGATTTGGCCGTCTTCGTTCTAAAAATATTTAATGACCACCTACTACGTACTTAGCATTCCACTAGTGTCCTCTTCAAACTGTCATCTGTTCCCAAACACCAAAGGCAGCCAGCACCTGCATGCTACCACATGTGGTCTTGTGATGGAATATGTAGTCTTTTTTTTTTTTTTTTTGAGTTGGAATCTCACTCTGTC